GCTCAACAGGTCGAGGCTGTGGTGGCCGGAAGCGGCCACTGCACTCCAGTCTGGGCGACAGAGTGAGACTCCAACACACACACACAAAAAAAGAAATACAAATTCTGAGAAGTCACTCCAGATCTACTGAATCAGAAACTCTAGGAGTGGGGCTCAGCAATTTGTATTTAATAAGTCCTCAAGGTGATTTTGCTGAACATAAAAGTTTGAAAACTACCACTATACAAAATAAAGCTACATTTATGCACAAGAAATTCCTACCTTTGGTTCTTGGCAGTCACTTACTTGGAATGGCAAAAAGAAAATTTTTCTTCAAAGAATGTGAGAAACAGTAAAAATAAAAAAATCTTGAGTATTTTTACAATATACAAAAAGTTTCCTTTAAATCTCAGGGCTTAGTACTATGCTGTGTTACTGTTTCTACTTGAAACAGCACTTGGCTTGGCAAATTTTCCTAGCTCCTGCTTTGCCATGTTTCCCTGGAGCTCTGGACATACATGTCAGATGCCACCAAGTCTTCATGGCTCATTGCTTCTCTTGCTATCTGTTTCTTTAGTGAAATCTCAGGGGGATGCTTACCAGCAAGCACAGTGGTCTGTTGGGACAGGTCTCTAAGCTCTAGAGGACCACAGGTAAATGTAACCTGTAAAGTTTCTCTGATGTATTTCTGCAACAGGTCATATCCAAACTACTGAAATGCATACATGGAATTTGCAAAGGCCTATAGACTTTGCTATGCCTCAGCAACTGTCATATTAAAATAAACCCTGAAAGCTGTTACTTCTGATTCTGTTTTTCATCATCTTATTTCATTTATCCACTGGCTTTGTACCAAGACACCCTATATCAAACACATAAAACAGAGAAGGGCAAGGCAAGATGGTATGGTCTTAGATCTTTCATGAAGATGGGACTGGTCTCTTGGTCATCCTTCATGCTTTCCTCAATCTCTTCCCAACCTTGCTGACAGAATGATTTATCTAAAACAATTCTAATTATATCACTCTCCTGATTAAAAAGCCCTTCAATGGCACCCTTCCCCATCCACTACAAGATAAAGTTCAGGCTCCTCAGTATTGTAAAAAAGACCAGAGTGGCCAGGACTCTGCCTCTTTCTCCAGCTCCATCAGTTGGCTGGCTCCCCGCACAGCCCATACTGTGTCTCACCTGTGTCTCTGCTCATTCCAGTGCTGCTACCACAACTACACAACCCTTCCCCCATCCCTTCACCTGATGAACTCTTATCTTTCAAGATTCAAGTTAGGTATTCTGGTTCCCTATAGCATTTCTGCACCATGCTATACTCAAACCACTCTCTGTGTCTCGTTTACTTTTGTACCTCACCTCCACACTTTGTACAATGTCTGACATGTAGCAGGCACTCAATAAAGCTTTAAACTGGGAACACTAAAAGAATGGGCTTCTAGGAACCCTCCAAAGTCATGAGGCAAGGTAATGCAGTTGGCCAGACATCTGTTTACATCACAATGAAATTACTAAGTCACAAAATAACGAGAAGACATGGTAGTCAATATCCATACTGCAAACCTAAACTTCATATTTAACTCTTCTCCCTCTACTCATTTTAATCTTCTTTAAGCAATTTGATTTTTTAAAAAAACTTTGAAGCCGGGCTCGGTGGCTCAGCCTGTAATCCTGCGCATTGGGAGGCTGAGGTGAGTGGATTGCCTGGGCCTCCGGGTTCGAGACCCGCCTGGGCAACTTGGCGAGACCTCGTCTCTACAATAAATCAAAAAAATTAGCCGGGTGTGGTAGCGCGTGCCTGTAGTTCCAGCTACTTGGAAGGCTGAGGCAGAAGGATCGCCGGAGCCCAGCAGGTCGAGGCTGTGGTGGCCGGGAGCAGCCACTGCACTCCAGTCTGGGTGACAGAGTGAGACTCCGACTCAAAAAATAAAACATTTTTGAGTCAGAGTCTCCCTCTGTTGCCCAGCTGGACTACAGTGACCTGATAATGCATGGCTCACTATAGCCTCCTGGACTCAGGCGATCCCTCTGCCTCACACCTGGCTAGTTTGTTTTTTAAATTTTTGTATAGATCAGGTCTCAGTATGTTGCCCAGGGTGGTCTCGAACTCCTGGGCTCAAGCAATCCTTCTGCTCCAGCCTCCCAAAGTGTTGGGATTACAGGTGTGTGCTCTTGCACCCAGTCAGCAATTTGATTTTTAAATTTCATTCCTCTTGTTTTTCTTTTCTGAGTCAGAGTCTCACTCTGTTGCCTAGGCTGGAGTGCAGTAGCACGCTCACAGCCACCCGAGCATCAACCTGCTGGGCTCAGGCAATCCTTACACCTCAGCCTTCCATGTAATGGGAACTACAGTTGCAC